GCTCCGAGCTGTCCCCGTCACTCCCGGCTGCGGGATGTCCCCGTCCCCTGCGGTTTGTTCCCGCTGCTCCCTCCCGCCGATCCCCACACTGATCCTGTCCCCTGTCCCCTCCTTGTGGCGCTCCTTGACGGCGGCTGCAGGCGGTGCAGGGTCTCCTGCCGTCGGGGGACACTGTGGAGAGCCGGCTGCTGGGCCTGGTGGAGAGCCGCGGGCAGCACGCGTGGGTACCGGACCGCGCCTCGGGGCGGGCGGGGAGAGCCCGAGAGAACTCTGCGGGTCCCCCACGGGCCTCCACAGCCACCCGGGAACCCCCTCCCACGGCAAGGGCTTTCCCCCGGGGTGCCGTAGGGCCGTGGTGTTACGGGTGGTCCGTGAGCAGCCCCAGGCCCGTGAGCTGCTCTGCTCTGGCAGTGCTGCCAACGCGTTCTTTAGGTGATGGGGCGAGCACGTGGGTGGGCACTCGCTTGAGGAGTTACTTTGGGATTTGCACGAGGTGCTGCTGGCTGGGATGGGGTCTGTGTGCCAGAACTGAGGAGCTGCCTTCGTGTCTGCTCTGTGCTTGCAGGATCTATGTGTACACTCACCGGCGGATGGCCATCACAGCGGAGGACGTCTGGCTGGAGAGAGTCATCCCCATCACAGATGGGTTTGCAGTGGAAGAAGGTACTGACACACTGTGGTGGCTCAGTGACCAGTTCCAAAGAACGGGATGAAGGGGTTTGGAGTCCATATTCTGCTCTTCTGCTTCCTGAAATTTGCAATCTATTCTGCCTTCACATTTTTTCAACTGTTTGTTATTCTTGGTGAAACTTGTGCATCACATGGCATCTCTGGCAGGGCCATGTGAGGAGCAGAGTACCCATGTCCCACCAGGCCCCAGCCACTGCCCCTGCCCAGCAGCTTTGTTCTGCCTGCCTCTGTTCCTGCAGGGAATGTTTGGAGGATGGAGAGGTTGCCGAGCTCACTAATCTCAAAATATCAGTGTGATCTGCAAATGCATTGCTTAACTTTCAGCTGAACTTTGTCTTACCTTTGCAGTTGTGCTCGACAGTGACCTTCACGTCATTGGTGAGTTCTGAGGTTGCTTCGGTGCTTGCATTAGAGATGCTCTGGGCCCTGGGCCAGCTGCACGCAGTGGGGCAGGACTGGGGGGTTCTTTGCCCCGGGGGAGCTGGCTGGGGAGGGGTTGTGCCCTGCGGCTCCTGGGGAAGTTGTCATGCTGCTGTCCATTGTTAGCTGCTGCTAATGAGCATCGCCAGCCCCACTCAAGCGAGGGAACTAATTTTCTGTATGTTTTTAAACTGCTACTGGAAGATTAATTATTGTCCCTAACCAGAATAATTTTTTTTTTATAAAAGATGATTTTTATATTTTAAGCGGCATTCTCATGTAAAATTTTGGAAAGAAACATGGTAAGAAGGCGTGAGGAGATGTCGCCAAAGGCTGCGTGCACGTGTACACTCGCCTCTGTAGAGCGGAGAAACGCTCAGTTTGTGACGGCTTGTCAGCACAACCCACAGGAGCTCTTTCTTAGCTCTTTCTCCCGATGTCCTCAGGCTCGGACGTGACCGTCCAGATCAGCTCAGCAGGCGATCGACTGACAGTGCAGCTGCCCTTCGGCTCCCACACGCGCACGTTCCTGCAGGAGGTCGGCAGGTGCAGCCCAGGTAGGAGCTCCACGGTGCGGATGTGGCGGTGCCTTCGGCTCCGGCGCTGCGTCTGTCCCGCCTTGGCGTCTCCTGCCCGAGCTCGCTCGGCGCTGTGGCGGGTCGCGATTCCCCACCGCAGGCAGCTCGGCAGCGACCGTCCGCGTTCCGGGGGGCAGAGGCGGCTGCTCCGTGCCGCAGGCGGCGGCGGCTCCGCGGGCCCGAGGCCGGC